TTCTCTTCTACCCTCTTTTTCTTCTTCTTTCTCATTTAAAAATTCAGTAAATAGAGGCTGAAAAGATAGCTCAGCAGTTAAGAGCACTGACCGCTCAGGCAGAGAACCCGGGTTCTATTCCCAGCACCCACAAGGTGGTTAACAACCGTTCATAACTCTAGTTCCAGGGGACTCTTAACACTCTCTTCTGGCCTTGGGCATTGCATGATATGGGTACACTTACATGCATGCAGGTAATACACTCCTACACACAAAGATAAAAATAGTAAATAAAATGTTTTTTTAAAAAATTCAGTGAATAACAATGTGTTGAGTCCATAATCCAGTGTGCCTGGATTACTCAAGGTACTGTTGAAAAATAAAATAAATAAATAAATAAAACATACCAACTCAAGCAGCAAACCATTTACTGGAGAACCATTTACTAGAAAGACAAATATCAGTTGTCAGAAAATGTGGCAATGGGTAGAGGTAGGCCAAGGAACTGCTTAACAGTCCTGGGGAATCAGAAAAACGTCCTACCAGAGAGGTGATACGCAGGCATGGACCTGAACAATGAAAGTGAGTCCAAAGTCAGAAAGTACTGAACGGTTCTCAGGCAGACATGTGAGTGTGGGGAGAGTCCAAGGTGAGCTGGAAATCAGTGGTGTGTGCATGTAGACAGTTGACTTGTGGGGACTTAGTAGGATGGAGTGGAAGACTTGCCTGGCTTGAAGATACTGAGAAGGGTCTCATGAGTGTTGTGTGACCATGTCATGGTAGATACCATGTCATGTTTTAAAAGATCATTTGTCATTAGAGCTGAGAAGAGGTTAGAATAGGAAAGAGTAGAGGGACCCATCACAGGAGGGAGAAGATGGGTTTAACAGACACAGGAGAAGGAAGGGACATTTTACCAATGAAAATCCAGGAGTAAATACTGAGCTTGGTTTGAACATGCACTCATTGGTCATCAAAGGGCAGATGCAGAGCTGTGTGTTTCCAGCTCCAAAGAAAGTAAAATCTAAGGATACAGAACCAGAAGTCACTTGGGAACAGGTGGCTTTAAAGTCAAGAGAGTAATTGTGAGATTGAGCAAACCCTGTGTGGACAGAATGCATCAGTTTACATTGGGGATGCCTGTGTGGTCCTAGGTGAACTTCATTTCTTTACATCAGGGACTGGTGGAACTTTATTGCATGTTTTAAGTATTCTGGGGAACCTCTCAAATGTTACAAAGAACATTATGTAAACATAGTTTCCTATTGGGACAGAAGCTATAGCCTTTACCAGATTCTGAAAGGGATTTGGGTCAAGAAAGGTTTAAGACCCATTTGTTTCCACAAATAATTTTCATCTCTTATGATACTTAGAATTTGAATAGAACTAAAGAGGAGATTGGTTCAGGCTCAGAAATAAGCTTCACATAATGGTTTGGATCTTATTCAGTGATTTTGAGTGGGAAGATTCCAGGTTCCCCCAGTGTTGAGAAAAGAGGGAGTATTTGATTGGGTTCATGATTTCATTAGAAACGCTTGATCAAGTCTGCACGAAAGCATCGTTCACATCAAATATATGTTTAATACAAAGACAGTGAACGGAAGTAACTATGAGGCAAAGAATGGAGACCCTTGCCAGTCTGAATGGTGCATACTCCAGGGGCTCCTGAAAATCACCTTCTCTTCAGAGCACTCTCCCCAGCACCATCACTACCTACCATCTCATCTCTGGTTTTATTTCACATTTGAAATTTGATTCGTTTCTTAGTTGAGCACTCCAGCACACAGTTAAGGTTTTCTTTCTAATGACCTTTGCCAATGAGTTTATGTTGAAGGTTATATAGTCTTAGCAGAATCTGAGTATTCTAAAAATTGCCAAATCACATTTCTGATAAGGTCCCAAGTACATAATGAATTCTTACAGCTCAACAAAAAGAAAATGACTAACCAATTTCAAGACAAGCAAAGGGGCTTTTCCTAAAGCAGATAAACAAACGAATGGTAAGTACAGGAAAAGGTGACAATGACATCATTGCTGTTCATCATGAGGACCTGACGGATCAAAACAGCAATGAGATGTTACCTTACACCTACAGGATGGCTTATTTAAAAAATAATAAAGCAGGAGGCTGAAGAGATGGTTCCACAGTTAAGAACTGCTCTTGTGGGGAACCCAAGTTTGATTCCCAGCACCCAGGTCAGATGGCTCACATTCACCGACAACTCCAGCTCCAGGGGATTTGATTCCCTCTTCTGGCCTCTGTGGGCACTACATTCACATGCACATACCTACACACACACACACACACACACACACACACACACACATGCATACACATACATATGAAATAAATCTTTAAAAATAATAATAAATCAAAATAGGATGAGTTAATGAGGGATTAGAAAAACCAGGGTCTTCACACATGGCTAGTTAGGACTCCAGCAGGTTCAGTCACTGGGAAAAATGGTTTGGCAGTTCCACAAAAAGTTAAAGATAGAGTTACCCTATGATCCAGAAATTCTACTCCTAGTTGGGTCCCCAAGAGAATTAAAAAACATATGTTCCAAAAACAACCTGCTCACAAATATCACAGAAGTGTTATTTATAATTGCCAAAAAGCAGAAATTCGAGGAGCATCAGTTATCTCAGCAGAGGGTAAGCAAAATGCAATCTATTCATACAATGGAATATCATTCAACTATAAAAAGAAATGAGGCATTGATATATGCAATAACAGGGATGAACCTTGAAAATACTAGGCTAAATGAAAGAAACCACGTATAAAGGTCACACATTGAAAGAGCTGATGTGCATGAAGTTTCCAGAATATACAAACTGGTAGAGGCAGAAAAGTCCATTAGTGACTTCAGGTAATTGGGAAGAAACAGGAATTAGGAAGCACAGGGTAATTTGCAAGATGATAAGAATGTTCTAGAATCAGACAGTGGTGGTGGTGACTCAACACTGTCAGTGCACTAAAGCCACTGGACTGCACACATGAAAGTGGTTGTGGAGAATTGTATGTTATATGAATTCACCTCAACTTCAATTTTAAAAAGCAAAATTGCCAAGTGATAGCTACTAAGTTGGCCTTCAAATCACACAATTCTAGAATTCACAAACTTTTTATATAGTTGCTTGTTTGTGAAGTGACCAACTATGCTTACATAGGATGAGACTCCCTCATTGCTCCAACATCAGCGATATGAATATGTCAGTCAAACACCGGCACAAAGAAAACCTCACTTAGCAAAGACCCAGAGAACTAAAGCGATGCTGGCATGTGTTTGCCTTCTGAATATATATTTAAATAGTATCTATGCTTCACATTTCGTAGGACTGCTTCAAATTGAACACGCTGAAAGTTGCAGTGGAGAACAGGGTCCACACTGCCTGCTTCTCATCCTAAGTCTGAGCTTCGGCCAGAAACAAAGCTCAACTTCGCCCTTGGAATTTTGGGATTCTGTGAAATTCTACTCTTCTTTGGGTTGAAACTATTTAACTTCACATTGTGTCCTGGGTACGCTGAGTTTCTACTTTGCCTCTGATGCCCAGAAGCCTGACGGCACCTCTATTTGTCGTTATACCAAACAGCAGAAGGGTGTACCTGATAAAGTGGAAAGTTTTGGCATTTTAAAGGAAGCCTGATAACAGAGTTAAATATTATAACCATAACCAAAAAAATGTCCTGGTCATACCAAAACCACTGGATAACCATGATGTGATCTTACAAAGATTAAATTCAGGACTTTTACACAAAGTGGTTCTCACTGGACTCATGTATGCCCCTCACTCCTATTCATTCTGCTTTCCTTCCTTCTATCTCCTCCCTCCCTCCCTCCTTCCTTCCTTCCTTTGTTCACTCCCCCTCCCCCTTCCTCCCTCCCTCCCTCCTTCCTTCCTTCCTCCCCTCATTTTCAGTACTGAGGATTGAGCCCAGATCTTCCCATGTCAGGCAAGTGCCCTGTCACTGAGCTGCACCCCAGGCCCCTGCAACATCTTCAGTGACTGTCTCCAAGCACCTTCCTCAGTTTGGGCCACACCACAGAAGCTCTCCAAGGGATAGGCAGGACCAAACACGTATCTTGTGGGGTATGAAGTGAACACACTCCATCGCTCCTCACTGACAGGATGATCACGGATTTCTGGATCTGCTGAGGTCTGGTGACCCATGCTTTTAGTTCAGCATCTTCTTTCTGGGAGCAGGAGTGAGTTGCCTCATCCTCTAGCATCCCACTTCCCTCACCTGCAGCATGAGGCTAGACAGCCCCATCTTTCACATCGCTGGGATGAACTTGCTAAGCCTTGAGCTTAAGAGGCGTTATTTAATACAGTTTTCATTTTCGATGGGGAAGGGGGTGCTTACTCCACTGTGCCCACTGCAGGAGAGTCATTGGTTGAGTTGAATGCAGGTCCTCAGAGCGTCAGGAAGGGGGGCCTAACTCCAACCCAACACACTTTGCCTGGCTTTGTTTATTAGCATCTCCTCAGTAGCAGGGGTGATGAAACCAGTGACAGACTTCACTGCCAGGCAGCTGGGTCACTGTCCCCTGGGTCTTGTTGTCATGCTGTGGTCTTAAAGTGACCACGGCTGCGTGGACTGCCGCCTTCCAAAAGGCCAGGCGAGAGACCACTGAATAGTTAACTGGTAGAAAGGAAGATGGGAAGATGGGGTTGTTGCTTGCTGAAAACACACAGAGAAGCAGTCTTTGAAAAATCCCAAGGTGGCTGAGTAGCAAGAACATGGCCCCTGCTGTGGGCAGCTGTGTGTGCAAGGGCAGCCTGAGGGCTGAAAATCAAATCTCCAGCCCAGGCTGGTGCCTGTCCCATGAGGCTGCACCAGAGGAGACAGAAAACCTGAACGTGACAAAACGAAGACAGTCTCCACCCTGGTAGAGGAGGATCATCGACAGTCATCTTTTGTATGGTTAGCAATAGTGATTTTAGGGGGGGAAAGGAAAGACAGCAAGAGAGAAAATGGGATAACTTATTTAACAGGCATGCTCAGCACGGCCCCTTACCTGGAACCGTCTCATGTCCCGTGGGTTTCCCGCTGTTTTCAAACAATTCTGATTGCACTTCAGGAAAAATTTTAAAAAGAATCTGTGAAGAGAAAGCAACGTGTTAGTTTTGTTTTTTTCAGTAAACATTTTTTAACAGGAGACTCTATCTGCATTCTATTAGATTTAATTTGGAAAAAAAAGAAAAAAAAGAAAAACGATTGTGTTTCAGGTCTGGGGAATTTCAAGCAGGCCTGCCTGGGAAGGGAACACTGCTGACCCTCTGCAATTTGCAAATTTGGATGTTTTCAATCGAAAGCTCAGAGCCTCCTTTCTCCATCACGGTGGGGGATTGTTAAACGGTTCACAAGCTGGGCTCTGGTCTGCACACCCACCAGCCTGGAGTTTGTTCAGCCTTCTGTCTGCAAAAGAGAGCTTGGAACACGGCAGTGACCCCTGCTGTACAGAAAGTATTGCTCTGGGCTTAAAAATGGGAGGTCGCAGCCCTCAATCCTAGACTCCTCAGGTCTATGACTCTCCAACAGACACACAATACCTTCATGCTCACATCTGAAGGCAGCCTCAGAGTTTCACACAATGTATACATATATCAGAAAATAGTATGTAACCATCCAAAGATTAAGTCCACTGGGCAAGTACACCCCAGGTATTTATGATTAATAACAAATAGGAATGACCTTACAGCCCCTCTAGAGGTTATCCAGAAAAACACAAATCATGCTCTGTGGTTTTTGTTTGTAAGACATCATTTTTTGAAGCCTGTATTCCCTTAAATGATCTATGTTGTTTTAAAATTGGGCATCTCGAATCAGACAGTTGCATCAGCCAAGAAAAATGGCAGATGAACCCTTTTTGGCAATTCACCTGGTTCTTATTTTAAATTTTGTTTCAAAATACAATAAGTTTTTCATTTATTTCACTTGCAGAGTCCTTTTTCTTAAAAAAAAAAAAAAAAAAAAAAAAAAATCCAGCTTTTGCAGTGTTAAAGTCCCAGGTGAGCTAAGCCTATTTCCTTTTCTGTTACTATGACAACGAAATTTTACCGCAGTCCCCAAGTCCCTTCAGAACTCTCACATCCATGCCTTGAATTAGAACTTTAAAGGAAAAGATATACATTTTCCCCAGGATTTACCAACAAAAATAAGTAGAAATCATCGATGCTTCGGAAAATTCTATTTTAAAAGCATTGGTTGGTGGGGTGCACTTGTGATGACCTGCTTCTTAGTTTTACTTATTTTTTAAACAATCACACAAACGAATTTGAAAGCGCTCCAATTAACTGTACACATCGTCAGAAAATAAAACCGACAAGAAGATAAACAATAAACAATAAAGGAGGGGAGGAGAATTGACTCTGTGGTCTGTTTGTATCTAAGATTTACTCTTTGTTAAAAATATTTGGCAACATGCTCCTGACCCCATCTATGAACAAGGTTGAGTGCGAATTCGGAAGTGATAGCTAAATACTTTTTCATTATTTAACATCTGCTTTGGGCTTCTATCTCACCCTCTTTTACAGGGTGTGTGGGAGGTCAGGCGTGGCTTCCTGTGCCATGGATAGTGGAGGTCTTGGTCAGAAGCCTCCACACTGACCAGGCAAACACTTCACAAGGCATGCAACACTCAGAGCCTGCTACTGTTCGAACGTTGCATGCCTGCCTGCAGGAACGCCAGTGCGTAGGGAGAATGGATTTTATTTAAGACAAGACAGGGCAGAACCAAGCACTTTCTTTCTGAATGGGGAAACATGCCTCTATTTGTTCACTCATCAGAGTCAGCTACGGCTGCTTTCAAACCCTCAGAGCTGCTCTGAGGATGTAGTGAAAACTTGCCTTTGCTCGCTGGAGCCTCCTTCCAAACGAGAGCCTCCACCCCCACCATATTTAACCCCAACACCCCCCCAGCCATAATTTACATCTTTTCCCATACCAAAGCCGAACTGAGTGCGACTTCTGATTTGCTCCTTGATTTTTGGAAAGTTTTGCTTTTCAACAACTGCACTCCTTATAATGCATTCTGTGTGCTATGCACAGTTTCCCTTTCCTCCCCCACTCCAGCTCCTAAAAGGATCTGGTGAAAACATTAATGCTCACGAGCCGTTATTACATGAATGGTGTGGTAGGTGGAAAAGTGCAAAAGAGATAAATGTTTACATAAAATCAAATTGATTTAGGGGAACACAGAGTCTGGTGAAAGACTTTATTCATTTTAAATTAGGACCCTTAACAGTTCTTTGGATGGAAAACACCCAATTCTGATTCTCTTGCTTGTCTTGGGGCTGAGTTTGTAACCTACACAGCAGACCTCTGCATACCAAGGATTTAGCATTTAGCTCACAAAGGGGAAAGGAAGCCATAGAGAGGAGCAGAGAGAGGGGGGGAAAGATAGAGAGATGTCACACTATTGAATGATGGTGTATAACTGCTACTTCTAAATGGCTAGAAATTATGGATTGGATGTTTTATATATAAATTCAAAAATGAATTAACAGAAATTCTAGGGCTTACTGATGTCACCAAATCTCTCTCTACTTTTTACTGCTGTCTTCTGCTTCCCACCCTACACACACCTTCCCTAACTGCTTGGTACAAAACCCTTTGCTATCCACACCATCCATTAGCCACAGGGTAACTCGAAAGGAACAAATTCTCTCAGAATCCCCTGGGCCTCCATCCCTCCAAAGCCAGAGCTGCCTGGAAAATGTCAGCTTTCTCTACTCAGAAACAGAAAGCCCAAAAGAATTCCAAGATTCAGACCAAATGTGCAGATTCTCCTCCGAATGGGAGTGATTTCCACTTTCTCCAAACAACAGTGACAACGTAAATATTATAACCACTTAGCATGTTGCAGTTTGCTAGCCTTCTAACTGCATTCCTTAAGAGTGAGCCCTAACAACAGGAGGTTTAGCCTTGTTTCTGGTAAGAGGTAGTGAGATGTGGGGTCAACATATAAACTCAAGCCCTGGCATTTCAGGCAGGTCCGTAAGCCATTGAGGCAGTATCATGTCCCAAAAGACATTGTTTTACTCTACAAATATGCTCTGAGAGTGTGTGAGCCTTGACCATGTAACCAAGCTATTTCCCTTCTCTGGCCTCAGCAGCCTCTGCTCAGAGAAATGTTTGACTGGATTATTCTGAAGTTTGTTCCAACATTGGTAGTCTATGATTGAAAAAAAAAGGCAGAATTGAAACTCACTGAAGGCCAAGTGGGAATGTAGAGCAAGGTACACTTTTCACCCTCCATAAAAATCCTATGGTGGTACATGAGGACAATCACAGCTCAAAGACATCTCTATCCCTGTTCCTGTTCTGTGTGGTAAGCAGCTGGAGGACTGGGTACACCAAGATGGGAAGGAAATAACTTGTACAGGCTAGTCCCCTCTTATCCTACAGAACGCTGTCCAAAACTCCGAGGGGATGCCGAAAACCATGAATAATACTAAACCCTGTGCATTTTATGTGTCTTCCTATACGCATATATCCATATGATAGTTTAATTTACAAATTAGGTACAGTAAGAAATTAGCAGTATCTATTAATAAGAGTCAACTAGAACAATGTACCATAGTAAAAGGGAAAATTTGTAAGTTGTTCGCATCTGACATTTTCCATATCCTAATCTGGGACCATAGCTGACTATGGAGAACTGAACCCAGGAAAGTGAGGCTATGGAGGAGAGGTACTGTGCTTGGCATACAAGGTTTCATTTAATTCTCACAGCATCCCTCTGAGTGAAGAGTCATCCTGTGGTGGGAAAAATGAATTTGAGATTTGTCAGGGATCACAGAGTGAACACAGGACTGGAATCTGGATCTTTCTAGCAACCCAGTGCCACCTGGTACTTGCTGGTTCATGCACCGTGGTGATGGTTACATTCCGAGCACACTTCAAACAACTGAAGTGCACACTTTGAAGGGTCAACTTTATGATATATAAATTGCATCTCAATAAAGCCACAAAATCTGTTCCCTAAAAGGCTGTCTAAAAAGGAAAAACCCAAAAAGGATTAGAAAATGGGAGAGGATCTGGATTTTTGAAGAGTCAGAGCATCCAAAAAGATTACACTAGGTCAAAGACGGTCACCTAGGAGAACCCACTTGACGTTGAAAACATCTGCTGCCTCCATTCCTTGACTCACTTGATCAATGCATACTGAGTGTGTTCTAGATGCCATGAAAGTTCATGCCAATGATAAGGATCTTGACTTCATAAAATACACAACCAGGCTATTCAGGATGTGCTTCTCCAGAGTCTTAAATGACTCTAAAACTCCAAGGGGTCTGAATAAGATCAGAGCATATTATATGGTATCCAAGAAATCTGTACTTCCTCTTCTAAGCTCTGGGATGCTGGATTATCCTGCACAATGTGTTTAAAAACATACTGAAACTCTCAGATGGCCTGGGTGTGTCCTGACCCATCTTGATTAGAAACTGAACTCCAAAATAGATGTACCATTAGGGTACAAACTTAATGTCTAGTGCTGGGTCATGAGTACCCCAAAATCACAAGAAGGAAGGTAACTACTGAACATCCTTGCCAGACTCTAGAATTATGACCAGTGATCTAGCGATCATGACACCCAACATCCTACTGCTCAAGGTTTATGAAAGACACAGTTTAGTTTATCTCCAACTTTAAATCTAAGATACAATCCTTTCTTTAAAAAATTAATCCAAGAATTCTTCGGGCCACCACTATAGAAGTTTCCAGAAAAAGAATAGACAGAGCAGATGCATGCTGAGGAATATGTATCGGTAACAGCTACTGTTAGAGAGATCCCTCTTCCAAGCAAAATAACGATCAAGATACCTCTCACTTAGAGGCTTGGTTCCTTACTCCTTTCTAACAAGAAAACCCAATTTCTTGTGCCTAGAAACAATTTCTGTCATCACATAACCATGTCTTATATTCCACACGCAAGAGAATACTACATACTCTCCAAGGGCCAAGAGTGGAGGCGTTGTGTCTGTCATGATGGTCACATAGTCATGCAGGACCTCTAAAGGCTGAACCAAACATAGTTTCTGTAGCTGTACAAATCATGTAGGTACTTAAATGTCTGTGTTCATCGATTTTTGAG